ATATTACGTCAGGAATTCGCTCGGAAGTGATAGGACTTTTAATTAGAAAAGGAAAACCGTTACTTTAAATGCTTACTCTTCCTAGCCTCGAGCAGGGTCCCTCACGCCGTTTTAGTCTTAATTATCATTACTATTATTAAAAGAACTGAAATTAGTTTTATCATTATAATTATCATCAGTTTAACTGCTAATAACCGTATGATTATTTATGATATTATTACTGTCATTATCATCATTGTTATTATTCTTATTTCATTTATTGTTATCATTACTATTATTATTTTTATTGTCATCATTGTCATTATACTCATTGCTGCTATTATTGTTATAATGATTATCACTTTGTTATCATTATTTTTATCATCATTATTCTTATCATCATCATCAACAGTATTATTGTTATCAATATTATCATTATTATTATTATATAGCAGTAAAGTCTTTGGTCGTGTTGGTTACTTTGTTCGTTGGTTTTCAGGATATGAAGTTATGAAAATAGTTTAACTTAGAATCCATTAAATTTTGTTGATTTTTTAAATGTTTGCATTAGTTACCCCTATTGCATTGGCAATTGGTAATAGGGGTAACTATTATTATTATTATCTTCACCTTTATCACCTCCGCTCTCTCTCTCTCTCACACAAAATGAATGAATAAATAAACAGTAAATGAATAAATGAATAATGAATAAATAGATAAAAAATAAAATGTCAAATTGTGTGTGTGTAAAAATATATATATATATATATATATATATATGTATATATATATATATATATATATATATATATATATATATATATATATATATATATACTATATATATATATATATATATATATATATATATATATGTTATTTTTTCCTCGGGTGAATAAAAAAAATTTTTCGGTCAGTTTATACACACAACGGGATTTTCATGTTAGGTTAGATAATCATTTTTATCTCATAATTATCCATTTTTATCATCACTGGCGCCGCTGTTACTATTATTGTTATTATAGTTATCATTCTCATCTTTATTGTTCCAGTTTTATTATTTTCGTTATTATCATTATCATTATTATTATTATGATTACTATTTCTGTGTTTATCACTATCGACATTATCATTATTATTAGTAGTAATGTTATTGTTAATATTATTATTGTTATTATCAAAATTATCATTATTGTTATTATTTTCATCATAGTTATTATCATTATTACTATTATTATTATTATCATTATTATTATTATTGTTGCTGTTGCTGTTGTTATTATCATTGTTATCATTAACTTCATTCCTATCATCATCATCATTATTATTATCATTACTATGATTATTATTGTTATAATAATAATAATAAAAATAATAATAATTATTATTATTACTACTATTATTAGCATTATTATTATTTTTATCATTATAATCATTATCATCCTTATCATCATCATACCATCATCCTGATACTATTATTGTTATTATCATTATCATTATCATTATCATTATCATTATCATTATTATTATTATTATTATTATTATTATTATTATTATTATTATTATTATTATTATCATCATTATCATCACTATCAACATTATCTCATTCTCTTCATTATTATTATCATTATTATTATTACTGTTATTATTATCATTACCATCAATATTATCATTATTATCATAATAACCAATAAGTATATTATCCTTATTATTAGGACTATTATTGTTGTTATTGTCATTATTGTCATTATCATTTTATTTTTATTGTAGTCCTTAATATTTTTTGTCATTATGTTTATCATTGTTATCATTATCATTATTACTATTCATAGCATTATAATATTTAGTACCATTACAGTATGATAAAAAAATGATATTGATTATTAAAAGGATTATGATACTAGTAATCATTATCATAATGATTATCGTCATTATAGTATTCATTGTTATTATCATTATTATTTCCATTGTTATCGTTATCATTACTGTCAATATTACTATCGTTAGCATCATCATTATATCATTATTATTGTTATCATTACTACTATTATTACTGTTGTTAGTGTTATAATCATCATCATCATTTTATTATCATTATCATCAGTACCATTATTCATTTCATTACTATCATCATTTTCATCTTCATAAATCATCATTATCATCATTATAAGTATCATCGTCATTGTTATTATTATCACTGTTATCATTATCATAATGATTATATTTCTTATCATTATACCTTTGTCATCATCATTGTCATTACTATCATCCTAACATCTTTTATTCCCATTGCTTTTATTCTCATCATCATCATCATCATTACCTTCATTACTATTAGTATAAGTAATCATCATCATCATCATCATCATTAACATCATCAATGTAATCACCACTATTCGACTAATAGCATCGTCACCATTAACCTCATCATTGTCATTATCATCATAGCATCATTATCTTCTCATCATTATAATCGTCATTATCATCATAGCATCATTATCTTTTCATCATTATAATCGTCATTATCATCATAGCATCATTATCTTCTCATCATTATAATCGTCATTATCATCATAGCATCATTATCTT